TTAGTAAGTTAATTGTTATAACTTCACTATTTTAATTAAAATTTGAAATTTTTTATTTTTTCTTTAGCTTATTTTCTTCGATTTAATTATTTCTAAAGATTACAAGATAAGGATTAATTTTATAATACAGTATAATGTAATATAATGTTATTATTTTTATTTTTATTCACAATATATCGAAATTAAATCTTTAATAATCATTATATGATAATATAGTTAAAAATATTGATAATAATATATTTATTTATATTTAATATATTTATAATATCCTAATATAATACTAATAATAATTTAATGTGCTATATTTAATAAAGATAAGAGTTGAAATTTCACAATATTATTTTGACTGAAAATTTTTGGTTTTTTTATGTAAGCTTCTAACTGAATTAATATGTGCTTTTGTTACTTTAAAATTTTCAGGTGGATGTTCAAGAAAAAGCAAAACATTGTCAAGAGATTTAATTACTTTATCAATTGAAGGAATTTGAATTTCTTCTTCAATTTGCATCGGAATAGATTGAATCAAAGATGTTTCTTCAGGTTTTTCATGAGTTCTGATATTTTGATATTCAATTGATGGAGAAATTTCTTTTATTACCTGATTAATCATTTCATCATCTAAAAATTCTTCAATAGAAATTCTTTTATCCTCATTAATATATTCTAAATTAAATTTAAAAAATATTTGTAAGTACTGTATATATTTTCTTAAATAAAATAAATATTTAAATTACAAACCATCAGCAGATATTGGATTGGTATAATCTAATTGATTAATTAATCCTTGAATTTTTTCTAATTCCTTTTGTTGTTCAATTAAAAATTCTTGCCTTGCTACTTGAATTTCATTTTCATCTTCATTTAAAGTAGTAATGGTATTATTTTGAATAGTAGTAACAATACCATATTGATTAATAGTAATACTATCATTTTGAACAGTAGTAGTATAATTTTTTAAATTGGTGGTTGTACTACTTTTATGATAAGTAGTAATAGATCCTTCTTGATTAGTTGTATGAGAAGTAACAGTAAGTAAATTTTCTTGATTAATAGTAGGTGTACTTTCTCTACTACTAATAGTACTAGTAATAGTTGGTATACTTTCTCTAGTATTAATTTCTTGAAAAGAGATAGGAATATTTTCAGAAGAAAAATATGGCAATATACCAGTCGCTTTCCAACAATTTTTAATGACTTTTTTTGTAATATTATTCCATGCCTCTGCTGTAATATCAATTGCATCTTTAATTGTAAAAGGATCCAGTGAAGTTTTGGTATTTCCAAGAGCATCATAGGCATTAATTCTATTATCCACAAAAAGTTTACGATAATGAGCTTTAAAACTGTGAATAATTCCTGCATCACATGGTTGAAGATAAGTAGTTGTATTTGGTGGTAAATAATAAATTCTAATATTTTCAAGTTTTGTATCTTCCATAAGTTTGTGAACTGGTGCATTATCAATTAATAAAAGAATATTTCGATTTTGTTGTTTCATTTTAAAATCAAATTCTAATAACCATTTGTTCCAAATTGAAACTTGCATCCATGCAGTTGAATTATATTCATATTGTACAGGAAGTTCTGATTTTGAAATACATCGAAGAGCCCTGGGATTTTTTGCCTTGTTAATAAAAATTGATATAATTTTTTCAGTACCAGTTGCATTTGTTCCAAGTAATAGTGTAATTCTTTCCTTTGATTTTTTATGTCCTTTTACAGGATGTGTTGCTAATGTTTTACTAGGTTCAAGTTTCCAAAAAAGACCTGTTTCATCTACATTAAAAATATTTTCTAGATTATAGTTGCCATCAATAATAACTTTCTGAATTTTGTTTCTTTCTTCAGGAATAATTTCAATTGGAGCACTTGCACTTTCTCCAGTTTTTGTATAGCGTCGAATATTATGTCGTTCTTTAAAATTTGCAACCCAGCCTAATGAACCTTTAAAGTTTTCAATTTTGAGTGTCTCAGCAAATTGAATAGCTTTTCTTTGTAAAATTTTATCATTAAGATCCATTTCTGCACCAAGAGC